TTACCACCCGTGTGTTTCTGGGTGCGGTCGTTACCTGGAGCCGGGTGATGGTCACGATCGCTGCCTCTCGTGCCTGGGCGTGAAGCACGCTGAGGCGGCTCTCGTGGATGACTCATGCTCCCAGTGCGGGGGTATGACCATCTCGGAGTTGCGGACCAGACTCCGTTACCTGCAAGGGGGCGGAGTGCCCGTGCCACTGCCTAGATCTGGGGTTCCCTCTGGTGGCAGCCGGGGGTACCCTTTTTCTGGCAGTGGGCGGACTGGTCTCACGGTCACGGTGAGGAATTCCCCTCCTACAAGGAAGGGGATGCCCGAACCAGCCGGCACTTCGAAGCCAGCGGAGCCCTCGAGAGAGCAGGCTGGATCCTCCCGGGGGATACCACCTGTTTCTTCCGAGGCTCCCCCCGACGATCGGATGTCGATTGCAGCATCGGAGGGTGAGCCAGAGCTTTCTGGAGAGGAGGATTCAGCTGCGCTGCTCTCCTCTGGGACTGTAGCAATGCCTGAATCGGATCCAGAAATAATGGCTATGCTTTCCCGGGCCGCCGAGAGAGTCGGGCTCGAGTGGAATCTTCCACCGCGTCCCGAACCCTCAAGGTTGGACGATTGGTTTCTCGGGGTGGCCCGTGCTGGTTCTCAGGGCCCCACCCCAGTGCCTTTCTTCCCGGAGGTGCATGAGGAGCTCAACAGGTCGTGAACGGCACCTTTTTACTGCCGGAAGCCGATCTGCTGGTTCCTCCTCCCTCACCACCCTCGATGGTGGGGCAGCCCCCTCCCGGGTCTGTAGGTACTCGACTGCAGCGATGCCTATACGACCTGTGGAGAAGCTGCCTCCGCCTTACACGCTACGGCGTGATTGCAAGTGCACCAGGCCAAGGCACTGAGGGACTTGCACGAGGGTGGTCACGACCCGGAAGTTCGCCGAGAACTCCGCACCGCGGCGGACCTCGCGCCACGAGCGACGAAGGTTACGGCGCGGTCTCTGGGTCGTGCGATGTCCACTATGGTGGTCCAGGAGCGCCATTTCTGGCTGTGACTGGTGACATGCGCGAGACGGCAAGACACGATTCTTGAACGCCCCCGTGTCCCAGGCCGGCCTTTTCGGCGACACGGTGGAGAACTTGCCCAGCAGTTCTCCGCTGACCAAAGCAGACTGAGGCCATCAGGTACATCCTGCCCCGGCGTGCAGCTGCTGCCGTCGCCGAGGGCAGCCCCCCTGCCACCGCCCCGCTCCTGCGGCCTCCAGCAAAGCTGCGCCATGGAGCCGGTCGCAGAGCAGCCGCCCCGCCCGTCCAGGCCCCCGCCAAACCTGGTGGCAAGCGAAAGAGCAGAGGCCCTGAGACGGGCAACCCAGAGGTGGAGGGACCTGCTCTTCAGGAGATGGTAAGCACACCACTCCCTCCCCCGGAGGACGGCCGGGCGGAGAATCTTTTCATCTTTTTCTGCCACTGACCTCTCGGTCGGTGGTACCCAAATACTCGACAAAGAGCAATTCCTCTATTTCTGGGTCCCCAGAGGGGACGGGGGGTTGTGGACGATCCAGTGCGTATCACACTCACCCTCCTCTCTCGCCAGTGAGCAGCAGTGGGCGGATCGGGAGGACGAACCAACGGACTACCCACGCACCCTCTGCTCAAACGCAGGTCAGTGTTACACACACCCAGACCCCGCCTCGGACCGGCAAAGAGACGCCCGGGCCGGGTCCCTGCGTTCTTCCGCGCTGCCCCACTGCGGGTACGCCTGTAGTTCCGTTGATGCCACTTGCGCGGTGTCTGAGAGCCTGGCTAGAGCTACCCAGCCCGTCTCGATGGCTCCGTCGAACCGTCAGGCTCGGCTATGCGATTCAGTTCGCCCGGCGCCTCCCAGGTTCAGGGGCGTCCACTTTACGTCAGTGAAAGCAGCAGATGCCCCTGTCTTGCGTGCAGAGATCGCAGTCCTACTGGCGAAGGATGCGATAGAGCCGGTCCCTCCAGCCGATATGAAGACGGGGTTTTACAGCTCCTACTTCATTGTACCCAAGAAAGGCGGTGGGTTACGACCAATCTTGGACCTGCGTGTCTTGAACCGGGCCCTTCGCCGGTTACCGTTCAAGATGTTGACGCAGGAGCGCATCTTCGGGTGCATCCGTCCCCGAGATTGGTTTGCAGCGGTCGACCTAAAGGACGCGTACTTTGTGTCGACCCTTCCGCACCACAGACCATTGCTGTGGTTCGCGTCCGAAGGACGAGCATATCAGTACGAGGTCCTGCCCTCCGGGCTGTCCCTGTTGCCCCGTGTCTTCACGTAAGTTGCGGAGGTACCCCTTGTTCCCCTGAGAGAACAGAGCATTCGCATTCTCAACTACCTCGACAAAGCAGTCTCAGGATCAGTTGTGCGAACACAGGGATTTGGTGCTCTCACACCTCAGCCTGTTGGGCCTTCGGGTCAACTGGGAAAAGAGCAAACTCTCCCCGACGCAGAGGATCTCTTTTCTCGGTATGGAGTTGGACTCGGTCGAGCAGACAGCACGCCTCACGCAGGAACGTGCTCAGTCGGTGTTGAACTGCTTGAATACATTCAAGAGCAGGATGGCGGTCCCACTGAAACAGTTTCAGAGGCTCCTGGGGCATATGGCAGCTACGGCGGCAGTCACGCCGCTGGGGCTGCTCCATATGAGACCGCTGCAGCACTGGCTCCATGGCCGAGTCCCGAGGTGGGCGTGGCAACGCGGCACTTTCCGGGTCCAAGTGACACCGGCCTGCCGCCAAACCTTCACCCCGTGGTCAGACCTTGCGTTCCTCCGGGCAGGAGTGCCCCTGGAGCAGGTCTCCAGGCATGCTGTGGTTTGCACGGATGCCTCAACCACCGGCTGGGGGGCCACGTACAACGGGCTTGCAGTGCCAGGGGTCTGGACGGGGCCCCAACTGCACTGGCATCAACTGCCTCGAGTTGCTGGCAGTGCACCTTGCCCTGAGCCGTCTCAAAGGGCGCTTACGAGGCAAGCATGTACTAGTCCGCACGGACAACACAGCGACCGTTGCGTACATCAACCGACAAGGTGGTCTGCGCTCCCGTCGCATGTCGCAACTCGCCCGCCACCTCCTCCTCTGGAGTCAGAAGCATCTGAGGTCGCTTCGTGCTGTTCACATTCCTGGGCTGCTCAACCGGGCAGCCGACGAGCTGTCCCGAGCTGCGCTCCCGGGAGAATGGCGACTCCATCCCCAGACGGCCAGCTGGTTTGGAGACGTTTCGGAGCCGCTCAGGTAGACCTGTTTGCCTCTCCAGAAACCTCTCACTGCCAGTTGTTCTTCTCCCTGACCGAGGGAACACTCGGCACGGACGCACTGGCACACAGCTGGCCGCGGGGCCTTCACAAGTATGCGTTTCCCCCAGTGAGCCTTCTTGCACAGTTGCTGTGCAAGGTCAGGGAGGACGAGGAGCAGGTCCGGTTGGTGGCACACTATTGGCCTACCCGGACCTGGTTCCCGGAACTAATGCTCCTCGCGACAGCCCCTCCTTGGCCGATTCCTCTGAGGAAGGATCTACTGACTCAGAGACGGGGCACCCTTTGGCACCCGCGTCCAGACCTCTGGAAACTTCATGTCTGGTCCCTGGACGGGACGCAGAGGTTCTGAGTGCCAAGTAGAACGGGTACGTTTTCCCAGTGTTATCCAGTCTTACTCATTGGGTAGTGTCATAGCGGCAGTAGCTGGTCCTCTTGTGCAAGCCCTGGCCTATGCCAAAAAGTAGGGGCGCAGGTGGCTTCCACAGGACACTGGAAGGGGCAGTAGCTGTGGCCCTTTGGTAGGATCCCAATTTCGTCGGTCATCCGACGTGACGTCGAGAGTGACCGACTGAAAGGGAACGTCTCGGTTACGTATGTAACCCTCGTTCCCTGAAGGAGGGAACGGAGACGTCACGTCCCGTCGCCACAGCTCCTGTACCACCGCTGAGCGGCCGGGTCACCGGCTCGGCTCCTCAGCGAAAACCTGAATATGCGCTGCATCTGCTGCCTACTTATACTCACGCTGTGATCAGCAGCAGCTGGATGCAATAATCGCATGCCAATGTGCATTGGCTCGTTTAGTTTACACTCGAAGTAGATTGGTCCCTCTAAGCGAGATCCCAATTTCGTCGGTCATCCGACGTGACGTCTCCATTCCCTCCTTCAGGGAACGAGGGTTACCATACGTAACCGAGACGATACGGCTCTGGATTAATGTGGCGAAAGTGAGGGGCTCACATTGTACTATTGATATCAAGGCACCCATGTTGTGTTCACACACAACCACATGACTCAATGACGCTATGCCTTCAGTAGTGAATAGAGCTAAAAGTTTGACACAGTGAAGCTGTGGAACATGGCTTGGTACGACAGGACAGTCTACTTTCTCACTACATGTTTTAGGACAAACCAATGTACCACATGTAAGCTGCAGTCATTTGTAAATTCATGGATGTTGAGAGAAGATCCAGAAGCTCACGGGATGAGAGCCTGAAACTCCTGAGCGTGGCAGTGACAGACACAAAATTCACTGTGTTTGAGTGTTGCACACGTTCATACTTTCAGACACTCATAGTCATAGTCAGATAAAAAGACTTTGAACACTGTTCGACAGATTGGCACACACAACACTCATACGTTTCGTCAAATCTGTTGCACTTGCCCATTCGAATACATGCTCTCACACACATACAGCCTACAATATTTCCCCACATAATACATAGTTCATAATAATAAATATCAATAAATATCACATGAATAAACACCAACACCTTGGTTCTTATGTCACTGTCACTGTTAAACTATTTCTTTTGGTCTCCATTCTATCACTAATGTTGTTCCATGCAAATTGTGTATCTCTTCAGGTTTTGATAAGTTTCAACAAAATTAACCAAAAAAGACTGAAAAAGATCTTTCTTTCCTTCTTACATTCCTTCTATTGACTTCACAATTCACTTTCATTAGCATGGTAAAAATAAATAAATAAATTATAAAAATTTAAAAAATTTACAACACCAGCAAATAGTAGATGAGAAGAGGGTGTGGTATGTTGTGTCGAGGGCGGGGTCATATATAAAAAAGGTGTGGTATAGATAATATTGGGGCAGAGCCACATTTAAAGAAGTTGTGGCATATATGTAAAGTTGTGGGCAGAGTCAGAATTGAAGGTGTGGTGGTGTAGGTAGTGAGGGTGTGGGATCAGAGGTGAATATGTGTGCTATAGATAATGTAGGGGTGGGGTCAGTGATGGAGGAGGTGTGGCACAGGAAATGTCGTGGGCGGGGTCAGAAGTGAAGAGAAGTTTGTTGTGTTGGGAATTGGAGTCATATGTAAATAAGGTCTGGTAATATTGGGGTGGGCCAGAGATTAAAAAGGTGTAATGTATATGTAGTGTAATGGGTGGAGTCAGAAGTGAAGAAGGTGTGGTGTAATTAGTGATGGGGCAGGGTCAGAGGTGATAAAGGTATTTATGTAATGTTGGGGCCGAGGTCATTGGTCAAAAACGTGGTATAAGTAGTGCTAGGGCAGAGTCTGTGAAGACATTGAAGCGAGGTTAATAGTGAGGAAGTTGTATCATTATTGAGGGTAAGGTCAGAGTTGAAGAAGTTCTGGTGTAGGTAGCACTGGGGGCATGTTCAGAGGTGATGAAGATGTTTGAGTAGAATTTGGCCAGGGTTACTGGTAAAGGTCAAACTGGGGGCGGAGTCAGTTTGAGAAGCTCAGCCCCCACAGGTTCACTTGAGCTGAAATTATAGTTGTGTGTGTACGAATTTCTGCGGGGAGCTGCAGTAACAGGCAAGAGAAGACAAATGAAACAGAGTGTTCATGTCTTGTGGGTAGGTAGAGGTGTGAAGCATGCCCAAATCTCTGCAGTGGGAATATGAGTCTATTCACAGCGACTTGGAGGGAAGAGAGAATGATAGAAGTGGGATTTCTGAGAGAATATCGAAGTTTGGTATAAAGGACCATCCTTGAAAAAAACAGCACTGAAGCAAGAAAAATGCTGAGGGGGCTCTCTGGAGAGTATTCTGGAGGGTGTTGCTGTGTCTGAATATCCAGGTGGTGGCAGACACCATGTAAGAGGGATCCATCTATAAAGAGAAGCTGTGCATGACAGAGCCTCTATCATCCGCTACTGACACTCATCTAGTGTTAGCGAAAGGATGCGAGTTCAATTTCAACACCGATAATAATCAGTAAGAACAGATGTAAACACTCATTTTAGACTTCTCATATAAACAAAAGAAGAAAGGAAGAATGATGGGAGGTTTTACAGTAAAGAGTACATCTCTCTTATGAACTTTCTCAGAAGCCAGGCACGTGGCAGTAAGCCTCCAGTGAGGCCAGCATGATGTAGATGAGCCACAGGATGACAAAGAGGAACACGGTGAGCAGCTTGGTGGTTCGTGGGCCCCCCAGCTCGCCCCCAGACACAGAGGGCCGGCGGCGGTACAGTAGTGTCAGAACAGACACCAGTGCCATGATGGTGAAGACGGTGACAGAAAACGCCAGCGACCCCGGCGGGACCAGGAATTTTTTGCCCTGACTGTTCCAGTATACAGAAGCGATGGTCCACGCCACTCCGATACCCAGGAAGACATTAACTGCATTACTACCTGTCACATTTCCAATGGATGCATCGGCGTATTGGTCCTGGATGGCTGCCACCTTGCTGGCAAAGGTATCTGCAGAGGCCAAAAGAAAGACAGAGAAAAAGAAAGATGAAAGAAGAAAGGTGAGAATTGAAAGTGCCCCAGAGGAACATCTTAATGAAAGACATTGCTGATAGTTCAGGACAATGTTTTTCAAACCTGTTCCTGGAAGCACACCAACAGTACACATTTCGAAGTGTTCCTAATTTAACACACCTGATTCAGCACATGAGTAGAGACCTGAAATGGATGGGTCAGATAAATGAGACCTCCAAAATATGCCTCCAATAACAGGGTTGGGAAACACTGGCTCAGAAGACAGAATGGAGGTCTCAGTTATGTTTAATTCAGGCTATCAACATTGTCTCAGATGTTTCTTCTAAAAGTCCATATGTATGGTGGCCGAGAGAACTCAACGTCCTGCAAATGAAAAAACATGCAAATAGAAAAAACACCAGCAAATTAAGAAAACATCTTCATCAGTTTGACAACATATGCACTGCTAATACTCACAACGCGACCAAATACAGAAACACACTGCAAATACTCACAACACAACCAAATACTGGAACACACTGCAAATATGCACAGACCACATCGGAAATGTTTAAGGGAACAGCAACAAGTGACAAACCTGGCTGGGACATGCTTATCAATGTCTGCTCTGAAAGGTGAGATTTTTGTTTATTTTAACATCTTGATCATATGATTCCTTAGCTTTTTTGGATATTATTAGCCTAAATAAGCTGATGAAAAACACAATTACTGTAACTGTGAAACATTATGTAAGCTGGCTAACTTACTTTTACAACTTACCTTACGAAAAAAAAAAGAAAAAAAAACAAGGTTACTATAGTTAAACCACGGTAACCACAAATTAACCATGGTTTTGCTACAGTAGCCATAGTTTAACCATGGTATTCGTACAACTGTGGTTTTTATAATTAATATGCCAAAAAACATGGTTACTACACTTTTACTATAATAAAACTAGTAAAAGT